GGGGTTTATACCTATATTCCCTCCCTATCTAAAACAAAGTTGCAAAACCTGACAACCAGGGAAAAGCTGTGGAGGCTGCAATTACAGACAATTGTAAAGAGACAAAATGCATGACAAAAAACAATTAAAAAAAACGCATACGGCAAAAACACAAGCAGCAAGAGTATCAAAAAAGACTTGAGACCATGTACATAACTACAGGTCAGGAAAGCTAAAATATTATGATCATTAAAGTGTGCGTTCCTGTGTGAACATGCACAAAATGCTGTGTGGATCTTACATTATTTGTGCTTAATGATGGGTGCAACTGGCCACCACCATCCCTCCTCCAGGGACCAGAAGCAAACAGAGAGATCTCAAAGACCCAGGATACCTGGAGCCATACAGAACACAGAAGTCAGGCAGCCAACTACATGGACACCCTGTGACCACAGACCTTAGGCCCCAGGAGAGGAACCAGGGTTGACAACTTGCCAGTCCCCAGCCACCCAAGTATGACCCAGGGCCCCAAATTCCTGAGCACCCCACAGCCCTCAGCAGAGGGAACCAGACAGTTGGAGCCAGCACACAACAAGAACTCCAAGCAAAGGGCCCTGGAGTCCACTCTGGCTGTAGGCAAGCACAGTTGCGAGCAGAAAAGGAGAGGCACTAAGGGGGTGAGCTCCATGGGGACATGCAAGAGGCATAGGGTATGGGGATATGCAAGACCAAGAGAAGAAGAGATACACATAGAGGACAAGGCCAAATAACCAAGATGGGCACACCTGTTCCAAAGAATCTTCCAAAAGGCAGTAGGGCCCAAAGTCCACTCTGATGGGGCCGCCACAACAGCACCCACCGAGTGCAAAGTAACCATAGGCTTGACCAAGAGAAGAGAAAAAAGGGAAGGGGTGAACATGTAACATGTCACTACTGCACTCAAACTAGGGGCAAGCCCCCGGGCCCGGACCCCACACCCAAGCAACCCAGCCAGACATGAGTGGCACCTGCTGCTACAAGCCCCCAAGTGACCATCTACAAGCCACACAACCCAACTCCCACATCTAGGCGATCGTCAGGTCTCCCCAGTCTGAAAGCTTCTCACAACCAACCCCGCAATCATGTAGATCATCTTCTAATGCAGGAAGTGAAGTGGAAAGTGGAGACCCTTCCCTGAAGACTGAAGGTTAGAGAAGTTTGACCATTAGTCTTAACGCATGCATTTAGAGTACTATACAATAATCTCATCTAGTTTGTAAAGGATGAGCCAAACCCAATTTTGTTTAGGGTTGCAAACAGGAATTGCCTGTTAACTCGGTCAAATGTGTTTTCTGCATCTGGTGAAATAATTGTGGTTTCAAAGTTGTTGATTTTGGAATAATCTTTTAGATAAATTTTTTGCATGTATCAGTGGAATACTGTCCTATTTGATCCAGATGGATTAAAAGAGACATTATTTTCATTCTCCTGGCAAGGATTTTAAGATATATTATTAGAGATATTGGCTAGGAGCCAGATAGCAGGGTAGGGTCCTTTCATGTTTTCTGAAGCAAAACAATATTAGCAGAGTTCATGTTTAAGGGTATTTTGTTCTTCTCCTTAATTTTTTTCGCATTGTCCTGTAAAACATTATGGCAGCATAATTGTATTCTAAATACTGCATTTGCTGAACACATTTTTATTCCAAGGGAATCTTTATTGATAAAAAGCACTGCTTTTTTAAATGTTTCAATACTTTACATGTACTAAATAATGCCAAACCTGACAGGGGGACAAGGGGAAAATGAAGAGCAAAGATAAAGAGAAAACACAAAACACACACCAAAAAGTAGAAAGGTATTTATTTTACAGAGTAAGAGAGAGAGAGAAAAGACATCAAACCATACTGGTTGGATGGTTTTGTTGTATTTTTTTTTACTGCCATAACTGTAGATAACAGAGAACATCTTACAGCCTTGTAGCATACTCAAGGCCCCAAAGGAAAGTTGGAGGGCACACTACATTCCTTTGGATTTAAACCCAGACGGGGGATTGAAACTCCGCAAGACAGGGACTTTGGTATCTCCTTTGTATACATTAAAGTACATTCACACTACTCTGGACCAGCATCAAAGACAAAAGAAAGATGTTTATGTGGACCTGTAGTGAAACACAAAGGAGATGCCCAAACCATTCCCAATCACGGAATGCAATCAAAAGGGACAACACACTTTCCCACATAGGACTCTGAGAAATGACAAATCCAGCAGAAAGCAGTTCGGTCCCACAGGACATAACTGCTACCACAAGAGCTCATTTCTAATCTGATCATCAAAACTGTGCAAAACTTCCATCATGTCTTTTACTAAGGCCTTACTGTTTTCAGGTACACTTCATGCATCGTTTTGCTTTTTTGTTGGACCATGTTGGCAATTATATGTCGGATATTGCACTTGAAAAGCATTGAAGCTCCACATCCGATTTTTTTGTGTGTTCTTTATTTTCGTCTTCTCTGTGATGTTTGTGTTTTTTACTCGTTACATGTTTATTTATGACTTTTATTGCCACTTGTTCACGCTGCAAAACACCTGATAATCGAAGCAGAATAATTACTTACAAGTTCATCTTTTTCTTACTTCTTGATTTAAGCCTAAGTATAATCAAACCCAGTGAATACACCTAAGGTTTACCACAGTTCTGAGGATAACCACTCAAACTCCCTCTTCCCCAAAGGAGAAACATCAGTGTCAGGCATGCCATGACTTAGCTTTTTTTCCCATAGACAAGATTTTCAAGATAAGACAAACAGTCTTTATCTTAACTGGCCATTTTGCCTATGCTTCATAAAAACCCTATTAATTTAGCACTCTTTCACCACTGAAATTGTGTAGCGTTGACAGACATAGTCAGAAATCTTATGCCCTCTACCTGTTGCCTTGACACATTGCCTTAAAGCTTTTTTACACTGTTTTCAACACGAAAGGTGCTCTAGAAAAAACTTTGACTTGACCAATGTTAAAGCGTGAAATGAAAAGGACCCACTTGGCTTGACGCAAGTTTAGTCTTTTGGCTGTACCGCAACACACCAGGTTCCAGTGTTTGGTGAGAACTTTGAAAGGTTGGAGTGGTCAATTGAGCACTCTACAAGTGGCAACTTCCCTACCAGCAGTTCGTGGTCTCCCATGTCATAGTGTCTCTTAGCTGCTGGCAGTTGTTGAAGAACCTGGTAAACGTGAGGGACATAGACAATGAGAAATTTACCTAGAATGTCCCGTAACATGTTGATAAGACTCTGGAAAACATAAGGAGCATTAGCCAGCCCATACAGCATCACACATTCTACATCCAAGACCCACATGGATGGTGAATGTGGTTTTCCAATTATCTCCATAGCTGATGCGGGTGACGTTGTTGGAAATACCGAGGTCCAATTTCATGAAAATAGTAGCTAAATGTAGCTAGTCAAAGGCACTATGAACCAGGAGGAGTGGGTACGTGTACTTCGCAGTGATATTATTCAAATCCCATAGCTGGCAAAGGGTCAGAGACCGCCATCTTTCTTGTCCATGAAGAAAAAGCCGGAAGAAGAAGTAGTGGGGTATGGGTGGATAAATCCCCTAATTAGGAGCCTCTCCAACATAAACCTCCATTGATTGATGTTCTGCCTGAGTGAGCGGATTGATACAGCTCCGAGGGCTAGAAGTGCCAGTTAAAAGGTCAATGGCACAGTCCCATTGATGGTGAGGGGGGAGACGAATGGCTCAGAACATGCCAATAAATCACTGCCAAATCCTGATAGTCCCCAGGACTGACATCAGTCCGGTTACTCTCAGCTGATAAGGAGGCACATGTTAAAGCTGCAATGTGGGTACTAGGTGATAGTGATGGAAATTGAATGTCTTTCCCTCCAGTGCATGATGACAGTGTTCTTGGTGAGCCACGGTAATCCAAGAACCAGAGGGTGATGAGAACGAGGGAGGACAAAGAGGGAGATGTGCTTGTGGTGGTTCGCTATAATGAGCACAATGGGGCCTATGAAGTGGGGTTATGGAACCCCAGCTGATTGTTCTCTCATTGTTGCTGGAAATGCAGACTGTTCAGGTCAGTAAACAGGTAGGGCATCCATCACTATTTCCCCCCTTAGCCTGGGAGATGTGAGGGCAAGCAGGCAGGAGCACTTTCAATTGTTTGGTGCACAAATTGTGTTATACAAATTCGCCTTGCCTTTAGTTGTGCTTCAATTCCTCTGTGGTATATTTTTTTTAAAACAATAGCTGTGGTTGAAACGGTATTTTTGATGGGAGCCACAAGTGTGGCCACTAGTGTAACTCTCCACTGTGTTAAATATCTGTCAGCAGGTCCTTATGTCTGTGTATGTGTGTAACTGTAGGGAGCCGTTGAAATCATGGCTACTCACCCGAAACCACACTGAAGATAGGGTCACTGGCACACACTGATGCATGCAGCAGAACACATAAACATTTTCAAGCACCTACAGGCTCAGTTCCTTCCACTGGCTTTGACAGATATTGTTTTATAGGGAGATTGGCAACATCTTGTCACTGTGACACTTCCTCATTTCTGTTTACACACTGAAACTTTAGCTGCAAGCCTGTTCTAAACCGACAATGATCTAGTAAAATCCCTGTATAAATCAACATAAGCTTCGGACCTGCAGGGAATGTGGTGGGATGGAAACTGAGTGATCTATGGGTGAAAAAAAAAACAATATGTATCTTCTATTTGTTCTGACAATTTATCAGAAATACAAAAATATTGGTCAATGGACCTTAAACCGCTATATATTAAAGAAAAGGTTTGAGGAAAAACATTCCAAATTCCATTTCTATTTCCAATCAAAGATGGTAAATGATCTTCCATGTAAGACTTGACCCATCAAGCTGAGGTGTGCATGAAACTGTTCTTGTTTGATCGCAATCCTGTAATCCTTTGGTCAATGTACCACAACACCAAAGCATGGCTGCCCACACCTGCTCAAGTTTCTATGGAATACACAAACACACATACAAACACACACAAAATATACAATGTCATATAAATAAATAATATATATTTAATATATCTGCATCGGTACACAGGCACACAATCTAAAATTATGGCAGCTATATATATATTTACACTTTTTAAACATTGATCTGGGCTTGGAATCAGCACAAATAATATACAGAAAATTGCATCCCATTTAAGGCGTGCATAAACATTTATTTACTATAATTTAACAGTACGACATATAAAGGAATGCTTTATATTCTTTTAAGTGTGATAGACCAAGGATAAGACAGAGCTAAATGAATCAAAAGATTCACGAAGGGTTCATTTCACATGCAAACTAGATGTGGTCAAATTTGAACCCTAGCAGGAATCGAATAGCTCCTACTGGTTTAATGCTGTATGAGAAACCAAAAACACCTGAAAATGGATAATTAAAAGTATCCACCATGTCCCAACTTCATCAATCAAGACCACTACTGAGAAGATTGCCAAGTT